ATCATGATTATTATATTTTTTATTGGTAATAATAATAGTATTCAGAAATAAAAAAGAATCTTTACAAAAGTCAAGGAGAAGGATAAACAAGTGAGATTGATGGGAATAGTAATTGTCTCCTTAATGACTAAGCTGTTCTGGAGCCATTTGTGTGTAAACTAAACAATTAAAATCATAGTGGACATGGCATCTTTATACATACCCTCCAGGTGTCAGTGAGGTAACTCTTTTATTTAAATATACCTATTATATACATATTACATATCTATCTTTAAAATTCCAAACTTTATTAGTTGTTTAATGTGATTAATATTTTATATAGCGATGAAACATGATATGAAAAACAGCATTGTAAACTGTCACCTTTCATTATGAATAGAAATTAGTACATTACTGAAGGGACAATTAATTTTTCAGGTATAAATTCATTTTTGTTCATGGCTTTGTAATACAGTTTTTTTCCCCTTAATTTTCAAGTAGTTTCTCTTCTGAGCCACTTTTATAATGATTCCAAAATATGTGAAGGAAAGGTGTGGAAGGAGAAGAAATATCATATATACGGTATTATTTTAGTTTGATTATTAAGATATAGAGTGGAGTGGAAAACATGGCTAAAAATGCAATATTTTGACTGTTTGATTTGTATGTTTTATGAATCACTTTGGTTCTTGGGGAATCTACCCTAAGGCACCTTTGTTATTCGTAATGTGCTTTGCCCTTGTCAGTATTAACTTCTGGAAGTCATGGTTTTTTAGGTTGCCTTCTAAGATTTTTTTTATTTTATATTGCAGTTGTCAATGTCACAAAATGTTGGATTTTTTTTTTTCTTTTTTTCCAAAATAAAAGGAAATCTTACTTCGCATCTGTAAAGACTTTAGATTTATGATTATTATATTTAGATAAAGCTGCATATATATACAACATACTTTAGTAATTCTGAGGATACTTTTAATGTACATGAGTTAAGCTCGTAATAATAGTAAAAAATCTATGATTTGAGAATTTGAGAACATTTTCTACTGAAGATAGGCTTACACATGTACATTCTTCAGTTCTTATCAAATTCAAGGAAAGAAAATTCATATTAAGCGCAGGATTTCCAAGTTTGGTTAACTTAATCATCATCATCATCTTTATTACCTTATATTTTACTTTTTCAGGGTGATTACATTGACCTCACCATTGGTACGACTCTGGGTATAAGCACATTAGCGGCTGCAGCCCTCGGGAACACTGTCAGTGATCTGGCTGGTATAGGGTCTGCATGGTATGTGGAGAACATGGCAGCTAGGACTGGCATGCGACCCCCAGACCTTACGCAAGAACAGCTTGACACGGTTTCTGCAAGATGGTCTGCAAACGTGGTGAGTGGACAGACTTTATATGTGGTTGTATAGGTTATTTGTATGTAAAGGAGAATTACATAAGAGATGTACATATTTTTCTTTTTTTCCTTTCTTTCTTTTTTACATAGACAATTTTAAATTATTGTCATTATCCCAAGAATTATAAAATTGAGAAATGTGGCCACTATATAATCCCAAATTAAATGTTGTTTATGGCAGTTGCCTTAGACTAAAGCCAATGTAGTAATTATTGAGTTAATTTAACTAATTGCCTTTTCAGCCATGTACAGTATTGTACTTGGTTATTATCATACATCTAGCAGATAACATATTTTAGATCATATTATATATAGTTAGTGAATAAAATAAGTAGTTTATCTTATGTGTGTTCTTGTCTTAACCCATTCACCCCGGATTTATGTTCTGTCCCCTGTAGTTTCTGGTGAATTTTGTTACATACAGATGGCTCCACATGTGCTCAGCCGGCAAGGAGTCTATCAGTAGGCCCTAGTTACCAATCCTGATTTTCCCATTCATTGAATTTGTGGGAAAGTTAATACCATTCTATCGATACTGTTATTATTGTTATTGATGTTATGATTATTAAATTGACATTAGAATATTTTAGACAAGGAAATGATACAAAAGACCCTTTCCTAAAGTGAAGGAAAAGGGTAAACAGGTGAAATAGGTAGTACTGATAAACTGGCTATTTGGTGATTAAGAACTTGTAGAGCCATCTATGTGTAAATACAATAAATATACGTGTACAGTGGGCATGGCATGTATTCTTGCCACAGAGGGCGAATGGGTTAAGAGACTAACCAGTAAAACATCAATATCAATATATAATTTTCATTAGGGAGTTCAGGACAAAAAGCTAGCAGTTGGCAGTACATTTTGAAAGATAGAAAGCAGAATAAAAGCATCTCTTCTCATCCCACAGGGCAGGGGCATTGGCGTTGTGGTGGGCTGTCTGATGGGCATGTTTCCACTCCTCTTCCTACCGTTCCACGAAGAGGACAAGAGTGAAGTAGAGGCAACATAATACTTATTTTTGATAGGATTTGAGGAGTAGGGTGGATGTGAAAATGAGAGGGTGACTTGGAGTGATTTTTTTTTCCCCTCCAGAGTCTGATGTTTGTGTGTTGAGAATGATCTGTATATACATGTGTGTATATATATATATATATATATATATATATATATATATATATATATATATATATATATATATATATATACATATATATATGTATGTATAAATAAATATCTATATATACATATACATATACACTCACACACACATATATATGTTTATATATGTATATGTATATATATACACATATATGTATATGTATACATATCTGTGTATATGTATACATATATATGTATATGTATATATTTGTGTGTGTGTGTGTGTGTGTGTATATATATATATATATATATATATATATATATATATATATATATATATATATATATATATATATATATATATATATATATATATTATGAATAATAGGAGTGTTGTATGAGGAGGATAATGATGTCAGCTGTGGAGAAGCGTTGTGATAAAAAATTAAAGATGAAAATACATATTTTATTCAGAATTAGTATCTAAGATATATATATGTAATATAGAGTATTATATTAACAGGGGAATGCCATTGATATATACATACCATTACAAATTTTTACTTCGGATAATTTCATGAATGACTGGAGAAAAACCATGTAGATTATATTGGAAAGTTGGTGCATGAGTTATGAATACATCGTTTAAAAGTCACATATTTAGTATTTATTATTATGCTTATTATTAATTAGGACTATTATTATTATAAATGTCATTGGTATATAGAGTATCAAAATATATCTGGATTTTTAAGCTAAAGCTTACTATTGTTATTGTTGTTATTATTATTATTAATATTTATTAATTCATTTTTTATTATTATTATTATTGTTATTATTATCATTACTACTATCATTGTTCTTGTTATAAAGGTTATCATGACTATTGTCGTCAACAAAGAAGAAAGGAAAAAAAACGGCAGCTAAAGACTTCTCAATTAATAATAGAATAGAAGTCCCAAGTGCTCAAGTTACAAGTAATAAATAGGTAATAGTCATAGTACTATATATATGTGTGAGAATAGCATCACTAGGAGAAATTAAGAATAAATAGAAATAAAGATATCCCTAGGAAATAGTGAGAAGGTCCAGCCATTTTAGTAACCCCGATAACCTTGTTGGTAGTAGGCTAGATATCAGGTAGATGCGGTAGTAGGTGCCAGAATTTGAGATCCACGGTCGGAAACGCTCCGGTACGTTAACAAGGACTCCGTTGGGGTAGTAAAGAAGAGGAAAATAGCACAGTTGAGCGATTTATTTGTTGTTGAGGTAGTAAAGAAGAGGAATAGTCAAGTCGTCCAGCGAATTACTTGCTGTAAGATCGGTATTTAGAAGTGCTTCAAAAGTGCTGTATGGATTGTGTAGCTGTATGTTATGTATTGAGAGTTAATTGCAGAGGGTTCTGCTTTGTGTTACATTATTATTTTTTTTCTAAATGAAGGGAATTAAAAATGTAATAGAAAAATCAGATGGATGAGTTGTTTTTTATTATATTTTCTCTAGGTTATATTATTTGAAGTACATTTTGAGACAGATTTTAAGAAACTTCGATATTATTCAAGAATTTTATGAATATATTTGAGGTCAGTATAGTAAACTGTATTAAATTTATTGTTTTTTATTTTATGAATATTACATATTTTATTTATTATTATTTTTTATGAGCAAATTGCATTACCATTAAATATATAACAAGACAACAACAGAAAAGAATTACAGGGAACAAAAGGTGCATACACAGCACATTTTTGCCACATATCTGGGTGTTTTAGACTTTAGTGATTAATGATTTATTGTGCATCAGTGATTATATATATATATCTGTATACTTACACACACACACGCACACATACACACGTCTACCAAGTCTGTCCACATGCCCTCATGATGCCTTCCAATTTTAACAGATGGGAAAGTTCACTGCAACACCAAAGGACTATTTCTTTTTTCTTATTTTTGAGTAAATCTCAAATGTTTTCATTTACCATCTGCAACGGTATTATTCTTTATTTCAAAATTTGCATTAGTAAATAGATATAGAGAAAATTAGTCTGGCTAAGTTTAAGTGGAAACTGTCTTTCATTACCATGATAAATATAGCTTATGAAGGCATTGTGACACCATATTCAACTAAATTATAGCTCTTCCCTCTTCCCTTCTTCCCTTCTCTCTTCCCTCTTCCCTTCTTCCCTTCTCCCCTTCTCTCTTTCCTACTTCCCTTCTTCCTTTCCCTCTTGCCTTCTTCCCTTCCTTCTTGCCTTCTTCCCTTCCCTCTTGCCTTCTTCCCTTCCCTCTTACCTTCTTCCCTTCCTTCTTCCCTTCTTTCCTTCTCTCTTCCCTTCTTTCTTTCCTTCTCTTCTCTCTTTCTTTCTTCCCTTCTCTCTTTCCTTCTTCCCTTCTCTCTTTCCATATATAAGAATATATATACTTAGGCTTGCATACACACATACATTCACATATGTATGCACACATTTTTACATAAATGTTTTCATGTTATATGATTCCAAAGTATATATA